GTTCAGTGTTGCCAGAAGCAGCAAAATTTCGTTACGTCGTCGGATTTTAGTTCTTGAAAAAATGGATAAGACCTTTTATTTAAGAATCAAAATTTGTGTCTAGTAATATGTAATCATACTTTTATTTAAGGATTTTTTTATAAAATCGATTTATTATATTGATTTTTTTTTAAATTTCAGTTAACTTATTAATTTTAGTTTTAAAATCAGTCAGAGACAAAATCAGTTCATCATTTGGCAACATCGGCGTTCGTGTTCATTGTTTACATTTTAATTTATATCAATTACAATTAGAGTTTTTTGTTACTTTTTAGCTTTAAATTTGTTTATTTCTTATTCGCTCCGTGCGCGACAGCAGCGCCAATTCGTTTTGATATTAATGGACTATTTCTGCGTATACTGACAAATGCAATTTTTAATAGAATTCGTAATTAAAAAGTATATATGTTAGTTTTAATAAAAGTATATGGATTTGTAAAACAAGTAAAACAATAATTTATTATTATTATAAATTTTTATCTCTTAAATTAAAGAAAATGATGTATAATCAATAAAAATGAATAATAAAATATAGGCAGGCAACAGTATTTACTGGAAAATGTATGAGAAGTTGCCTAAGTCTAATAAGTTGTCATTGAAGAATTATTCTGTCAAAATAAAAAAATACCATTTAGTAATCTCAGATTAAGAATAGCGTGAAGTTAAAATGCATAAAAAGAGGATCGTTATTTATATTTTCATTTTTGTTGGAAAGAAAACATAAAATGAATAATTAAAACTGGTTTCCCATCAGTAAGTTACAAAATTGTATTCCAGCCACATAAATAATAATCAAAGGCAGAAATCTTGAAATCTAGTCCTTGCTGAATGAACATTTAAGAAAACCTTTCAAGTTTCTGATGTCTACTATTTTCAGCATTACTGTTATTATTACAAAAATAAAGGTAATTTTTCTTTTTATTGTACACCTATCCATTTATTTCTTTGATTTAATTTCCACTTTGCTACTGAAATTTTTTATATAAGTTTCACCATTTTTTTTTGCTAGTATTTGTACAATTTTCAACACAGCAACTCCGGTTGCTTATTGTATTGTTTTCATCTACTTTTTTGAAAAAAAGTAAAATGTATACGTGTATTTGATATGCCAAAATTACAAAATATCGCCCTAAAATGCACGAATTATCCGCAGCTAGCGCTAGTATCGCTTTTGCTTCCCTTTCCATGACTTCGCACGGAGCGAAGAGTATGTGATAGTATTTAAATTAAAAATGAAATCTGCGAAAAAGCCTCCAGCAAATTGCAATCTATATGGTGTTATTGTCAAAATCAAAACTGAAGTATTCATTATTTTTCAAGTGCAAGTCATAAAATTTTGTTTCTTACGATAAATGGGTATCTACAAATTCACAATATTGAAATTTTGCAAAACATTGTTTAGAATCAAACTCCAATATAAGTTGTGACGGTTTTATTACCATTTACATGTATACAAAGTACTTCACAATTCACTTCATGATACAAGAATAAGGATAGTAAGAATTTTAAAGAAGTTCATCAATAATAAATGTTTGGTACCTGATATGTCCTTTAAACCACATAATAAAACATGTCCTGGGTTTAGTAAATACATATTTCTAGAAGTTCTTGTAGCAACCAATAGGTCAATATTTCTAACAAATTAGTTCATACTACACATGAAAAATATTACATTTATAACGAAAGCACGAAAACTAAACTTAAATTAACACTAAATGAAACTCAAAAACACTATTATAATAAAAATATTATCTAAAAACAGTTAAAAAATTACAAATACAAAATCCCACAACACGTAAATAAACAAACATCCTACTTATACGTGACAAATGACAGGCGCGCGAAAATTAATTTGAATCGCGAATAGTGATTAACTATTATGTTGAACAACAGAGTGAGACGGGCGCACTGTATATAACTGCAGTCTCATTAATACTTATTAAAAGTCTAAAATATTTTTTTTTTATTTTGGGGGAGGGGGAGATTAATCCCCCTTCATCCCCCCTGGTTACGGCCTTGAGTATATGATAAAAATATTTCCTTCAATAATTATTAAAGTTTTAAATGAGTCTCTACATATATACATAGAGACATTTTTAAATGTTACTTCTATATTTTGCAATTTATATTAACAAATTGCTAGGTATGAAATTCATATGCAATAAAAATACAGGGTGTCTGTAAAAGGTCTTTACAAAAACATACCACATATTACTTAAACCAAAATAAGTCGATTTAAGTAAAATTACTTTAGTAAAAAGTTGCTTCGTTTGGGCTCCAGAGGGCCTTGAAGTTACAATTTTTAAATCGTTTTTCCCATATAAATTTAAAACGGCATATGCGATTTTGCTGAAATTTGGTATTTTGGTAGAGTTTTATATGGCAAAAAATGGTATTAAAATTTTGTCCGATAATAATACATAGGCGTAGAACTTCGCCAATTCTACGCCAATGTAAGAAAAGAAGTTTGAGTATGAAATTTAGATGGCGCAACGCATTTACTTTAAAAAAGGTACTCTTGATAAGACTCGATTACTCTCATGGTTTTGACGAAATTTGCATTTTAGTAATTTTAGAACATAAACAATAATTATTAAAATACAAAATTTGTCAAAATCATGAGAGTAAATCGATTGTTATCAAGGTTACTTTTTTGTAGTAAATGAGTACCCAATCCAAATTTCATACTCAAACCACTTTTCTGCCATTGGCGTAGAATTTTTAAAGGTGCAATTATTTAAAAAATCAAGTTCTACGCCTATGTATTATCGGACAAAATTTTATACGATGAAAAATATAAAAATATACTTTTTTCATATCTTTTTCAACACCTCTAATCGAGACTTTTAACAAAAATACTCGATTCTTGCCATGTACGATTTTTTGAGGAATATTAATTATTTGCCTGCAATACGTATACAAAAACATTTATTGTTGGTTTCCATAGTTTCATCTAAATAAAACTATTGTCAAGTTTTAATACCCAATCTCTTGTTAACGATTGAAAGTGTTCTATCTGACTCAATAATTAAAAAAACAAATGCGTGGTTTATTAATATGGCTGTACAATATACCAATGCAGAATATACCGATATGTTACTGACATTAGGATTTTGTGAAGGAAATGCTCGAGAGAGTGTCAGGGTGTACTCTGAAAGGTTTCCAAATCGTCGTGTACCTAGCCACCCAACTTTTGCTGCTGTTGAGAGACGTCCTCGGGAGACCGGTTCCTTTGTTCCCAACACTGTTGATAATGGAAGAGAACGTTTTGTAAGGATTCCTGAAGTTGAAGAAGACATTTTAGAACGTATTGAAAAAGATCCAGAATTAAGCACCAGACGAATTGGAAGGGAACTAGGAGTAAGTAAAGATGTCGTTCATAAAGTGCTTAGAGAACAATTGCTATATCCATACCATAAGAAGCCAGTACAAGAATTATTAGTCCATGATCCTCAAATTCGTTTGGGTTTTTGTCGATTTGTTAATAGGCAAAGAGAAAGAGATCCAAACTTTGTCAAGAAGGTTCTCTTTACCGATGAAGCGGGTTTTACAAAAAGAGGTATAACTAATACCCATAATTAACATGTTTATGCCGTTAAAAATCCGCATGCAATAAAGGTAAACCATTTTCAGCACGAATTCAAAATTATTGTGTGGGCTGAAACAATGGTAATTTCATTGTTGGTCCTGTCATACTTCCACGAAGATTAACTGGAGAAAATTATTTGGATTTTCTACAAAATACGTTTCCAGAATTGTTAGAAGATTTACCTCTCCAATTTCAGAGAGATATGTGGTTTATGCAAGATGGAGCTCCACCACATTTTTCTTTAAACGTTAGAAACCACTTGAATGAACAATATCCACACAAATGGATAGGCAGAAGTAATGACGCACCTGTAAACTGGCCACCACGTTCCCCAGACCTATCACCGATGGATTACTTTTTATGGGGACATCTGAAATCCACAGTTTACAGGGAACATGTAGAAAATGAGGAACAACTCTGGCAACGTATTCAAGATGCAATAAACAATCTTAGAGGTGATGAAGAAGTTATGGAAAGGATACATTTTAATTTTCTTCGACGTATAAATCTTTGTATGCGTGAAAATGATGAACATTTTGAACAATTTTTGTAAAATCTCTACATATTTTGATTATGTTGTAAATAAATATTTTTGTGAAACCTATACATTCTAAATTATTAAAACAGAAATTTAGCGAAAATCATGAGAGTAATCGAGTCTTATCAAGAGTATCTTTTTTAAAGTAAATGAGTTGCGCAATCTAAATATCATACTCAAACTTTTTTTCTTCCAATGGCGTAGAATGTTTAAAGGTGCAATTATTTAAAAAATCAAGTTCTACGCCTATGTATTATCGGACAAAATTTCAATATTATTTTTTTGCCACATAAAACTCTACCAATATACCAAATTTCAGCAAAATCGCATATGCCGTTTTAAATTTATATGGGAAAAACGATTTAAAAATTGTAACTTCAAGGCCCTCTGGAGCCCAAACAAAGCAACTTTGTACAAAGGTAATTTTACTTAAATCGACTTATTTTGGTCTAAGAAATATGTGGTATGTTTTTGTAAAGACCTTTTACAGACACCCTGTATAAACAAATTTGAAGTCCTCGCAAAGAAATAATTTTATTCGCCATTATTATTTAAACAAATCGTATTTACGTTTGCAAATAAATCGTTTAATTTTCTAAAGTGTACTAGCCACAATTATCCCAAAATAATAGTAAACATTAGAGTTACTGTAACAATAAATCAATTAAAATTCTACAAAAATAACGTGCAATATTGGAACAGTAGTTGTTAGCAATTATTAGTGTAAAAAAACATGAACGTGGGTATTGTTTAAATTGTTTTTGAAGTCTGGTAATTATTTAACAAAAATATATAATATGTATTAGTTATTTGAATAAACTTGAAAATACTTACTGTATCTATGAGGTCCGTATACTTCGATAAATGAAAATAATATGAATAGCCTTTCGTCTGGAATAGAAACTATTATTTAGAATATTAAGACAGTTTGGCAAATGAAAATACAAAGGGATTATTGGCGATATGCAATTATGCTTTTTTAATAGCAACTACATAGGTCTATATGATTTATTATCGTTCTGTGGTTCTCCAGGTTTGGGCAGTATAATCAATTTTGATGCTTTTCATCGTATTTCAGAAGCAAAGAAGCGTGGTAAACATATAAACATGAAATATTTTGTGAACTTGGCCCTTCTATTGGACTGACAACATCGGCAGTGACAAACCTAATTAAAGTATATTCTCTTGTGAAATGCAAAAAAAGATGGGATGAAACAAGAAGCTGCAGAGTTGCCATGGAGCTTTAAACTTATTTTGCAAAAAAATAGTTGCCTATGACTAAACAGAATCTGATCACAGGCATTCTGACTGGTCATTGCCAAGTACGAAAGCATCTCCATATTATAAGGCTAGCAGAATCCGCACTCTGCATTAGGTGCAAACAAGAAGATGAGACCTTCGAACATATCCTCTACGATTGCCCGACACTCTCGCCAGCTTTGGATGTTATTATGGGGCAACTTTTGAAATCAAAAAATTCATCTAGCCTGTGGCGGTATGTAGAAAGTTTCATCTTCAGATGTGGTTCAAACAAGTTTCTTTTTTGGGAGCCAACGCGTAAGTCTCTTGCTATGTCCTGAACTACATTGCTGGAGAGGCCGTAATTTGTGGCTATTTTACAAACATCTCCCGCGAAAATCTGTTGTGGGCCTATAGTTTCTGGGTAATTTCAACGTTGAGTGGCTTTCCGTGGATCTGAGATAATGTAGCGGTTTTATTGCTCGAGCTGCGAGAATTTGTGTCTTCATTTAAAACCATGTCCTTCATTAAAGAACACGCCAAATGTTCTCTCTGTTTCAGGGGTAGTAAGTTACTTACATGTTCTTTGAAACTCGGGAAGTGTTTCTCTGGGGTACAAAAATGTTTTTCCCTACCGAATACGTTTCACCACATTTTTTTTGCTCTTGTTGCTCCTCTTCTTTTTGTTCTTGTCATTTTTTTTTTTGGTGAAGTTATATGGCCCTGAATCTCGTACCAATTCACACAATGTGCAACCGCACAGCGTTTGAGTTTTTGCCCAAGTAACCTTCTCCAAAATTTTGAACTTTGTATAGTCCGGCAGAGCTATTTTCTCAATAGTTTCACACTTCACTGACCAATATATTATATTTTTGCAAGCGCTACATAAAACATTGGGAAAACGTTCAGCATAATTCACACATTTTTTTAAATTCACACATAAAGCACCACTGATTTTGACCATTTGATTCTTCTTCTGCAGACAGAGAAAACACGGTCTAGGACGTTTCGACGCGGCCATTTCGACGCAGCCGTTTCGACGCGGCCGTTTCGACGCGAGGACATTTCGACGCCGGCCGTTTCGACGCCGGGCCGTTTCGAAGCCAATTATATTTTTTTAGGTAAGTAATAATTCATACAAAATAATATATTTGAAATGTCTATTTTAATTTTATTATTAAGAATTCATAATATAATTATGTGAGATTGCTTAGAAATATTTATTTTTGTTTCTATTTTTTTAATCGATAAGGATTTTTAAAATCCTCTCGACACAATCGCGATGTTTTTTTAATTTAGTTGGCGGCTGCTGGCCCGACAGTAATTGATCATAATACAAGTCTCTTCCTGAGTGTATCTTTTTAAGTGCATCAATAAATTTCCATATCGTTGGATAATCCATGAATATTTCGTTTTGATCGGAAATAGTAGATTGCGCATTCTTCGACCCTGTCGTTGAGGACGTCCTACGTATGAGTCCTCCTTAAACCATTCTTTTAGAGGTTACAACTCGTTATACAATTCTCCAAATAAATGGCCAATTGCAATATCCATGTGTCTTCTTCAGGAGCAAATGCCAAAGATGTCACCATTCGTGCATAAAGACTGAAATCAGCATCGACCTAGCAAATTTAATTGAGCCAAATGTTTTTTCATATGTTTCACCAAATTAAAAAGAAACAACCTAGCAGCTCAGCTTATGAAAATTATTCTTTAAAGGCGTTTATGGTACCCAGTTCAAAATCGCATGAAATCTTCTCCGGATTTGAAGCTGGCTGTAAATGTCTCACCTCACCATACCAATCAGTCGGGCATATTTAATTTGCTGTTTGTTAAGCAGGAGATCTAACTAGGATCAGGTACCTAAAATGGGACAATGAACTACTTAATATAACATTATGTATCAATAATAATATTTAGGTAATTCATTAAAAATCTTCTTAGCAATTAATTGTTTATGCCTTTCGTAGAAATACGAATATAAGCCAGCTAATGGTTGCATGTTTACTACAGCTCTCAATGCTTACGGCGAATATTTAAGAAACAAGATAAATTAAGTACACCAATTTTATACAAAGAATAGATCTGCAAAAAATAGACATTTCAAATATTTTTTTTTTTTTAACTAATTTATTACCTACATTAAAAAATTTACATTTGGCGTCGAAACGGCCCTGCGTCGAATCGGCCGGCGTCGAAATGTCCTCGCGTCGAAACGGCCGCGTCGAATCGGCCCCGCCGAAACGGCTGCGTCGAGACGTCCCATTCCGGAGAAAACATATGAGCACCCGACTTTCTTGATGGGTCCCTGCATGATAATTTTATCTTTTGTCCATACTTTCTCAAGAAATTAAAATTTCGAAGAGAACAATTACAAGTTCACCTCGAAGGGTCGAAGACTATCTGAAGTTTTAACTAATTGCTCAAATAACATTGATCATTCGATCTCCAGTATAACAAAACGTAAACAAAGAATCGGGGGTGGGGGTTGATGATTGAAATAAAAGATATAATTCTCGTTTGTTGACATACTAGCGCAAAACTCATTCGAATGAAAAATAATTCTTTTAAATTTTTTTCTATTTTAACCTGTTTCTGAGAATCGCCAAAGAGTATCTCCGGTCTTAGTAAAAGGAGCAATTTCAAAAATATGCTTTGTAAATGTTGGTGTGCTAGTGTAAAACTGATAGGAAAACACCATTTATGCCAAATTGGGGATGTTTGGCAACTAGAAGTGAGCAAAAGGTACAAAAATCTCGATATCTGCAACACTGAATCTTCTCTCGTGAAAAAAGGCGTTTTTTTCGAAACAGCTTTAATGCTTACGGTTGATTTTTTTAAGCCTTCTTATGACTTCAGGAATAGAATGCCGAAAGAAAATCGGTTGTGCTACAACTTCGCATTTAAATCATGTTCAAGCCCACCGTGATTAAATGCCCAATTAATGAGGTTTTCGTTGAAAAATAAAATCAAAAATTTATTTCTTTAGATAAAATTTGTAATTAGTACCTAACCTGTTCTGATGTCTCGCCATTATCACAGTGTTCAGTTTTATCAGGATAACAATGTAAGGCGTCCAATCCACCTGGCAGAATCTAAAAATTTATTTATTTATTAATTTATTGAAATAATATTTTTTTAAGGAACGATAGATTACCTACTCATTTTATTATTCACTATCTGCATCAAAATTATTTCCACAAAATTTGAGAGTAGAAAGTGTCTGGTCTAAAATTATGACTTTTTGTATCCATATAGTGTAAACAGTTTTATTTAATTTCTTTTACTACAGTTAAAATGAATAATTGTTTATACTAGTAGTTAAAAAAGAGACAGTTTCATAAGTAGTTATGTTTAATAGGGTCTATTCTGTAAAAATTTTGTTAAAATTAACCCTAGATTATAACAAGTATTAAAAGTAATTTTAAAAAACCAACTTCAAAATCGTGTAGATGCCGACCAAATTTATATTGGACCACCCCTGAGGTACCCCCTTACTAACAAAAAAACAATTATAGAAATTGGTCAAGGTGGTAAAGAATTACCGCTAAACATACATTAAAAATTAAGAGTTTGAGGATTTTCTAATGGACCTGATCATTAGATTTTGACCAAATTATTAAAAAACCACCCATGAAGCATCCCCTTTCTAAGAAAAAAAGAATCGTTGAAATCGGACATCGTGTTAAAGAATTATCGCTGATCATACATAAAAAAAAATAAATTACGATGAATTGAGAACCTCCTCCTTTTTTGAAGTCGGTTAAAAATTACCGGATATTATTTTTACTTTCCTGTCTGTATACATGATTTTTTTCGACCTAGAGTTTTCGAAAGATTTTTACATTTTGGGATCCAAGAATCCGTTTTGACTAATTTCGCGATGCTGCGTGCGAGCGTGCTTGCGTACGTACGTGCGTGTACAGAAAAAAACATCAAATTTTAAACTAAAGCTTTATTTCGGCCTACGGTGAACCGATTAGATTTTGGACAGAGTCGGAACATCTGGGAGATATTTTATTGGGGTCAGTTTTATATTTTATGAAATATATTTGTTATTTACGCTTGGAAGAGAAAAATCTTTAAATAAAAGTTAATTCTAATATTATTCTCATAATTGTTCGATACAAAATTATCCTAAAATGATCCGTATTCGAGAAATTTGATAAAGAAAGTTGTTCAAGTAAAAGTTTGTGATAAAATTTTCTATAAATCTTGTTCCATACATAATTTCTCTGAAATGTACGGTATTCGACATAATATTTGAAAAAATATGTAAATTTAGAATTTTGAAGAAAACTAGAAAACGGATAACACCAAATTTTAAATTTAGGTTTTAATCTATAAGATGAACTGATTAATTTTGGGCATGGTCGAAACATCTGGGGGGTACTTTATGTAAGGTCGTTTTTCTACTTTATTGAATATATCTGTTACTTACGATTGGATAATAAATTTCCTTAAATAAAAGTTGCTTGCAATGTTCTATATAATTTTTGCTCCCTACATAATTTTGCTAAAATGTGCCGTATTCGAGAAATTTAACAAAATTTGCAATAATCTAATTTGTAAGAAAGTTATCTATAATTTTTATTCTATATGTGATTTTTCTAAAATGGACCGTAATGGAAAAATTTGAGAAAAAGATTAATATTTTAATTCTTTAGTATTTTCGTTGGAAATGAATATTTACAGGGGTGATGTAATAAGTTGTACAAAATAACCTAAGAAAGCATGTAATAACTAGACAAAAAAGTCATCAGATTTTTTATTTTGTATTCTGTATTATTTGGTTAAAATTATATGTCAAATATATTCTATTTTTAATTTTAAATATTGCGTTGGGCTTAATTTATAAGCTCTCTTAGGTATATTACATCTTTGCCATGTCTATTTTAACCAGGACTGGTTATAAAATAACTAATGACAAAAAGAATATAAACGGCATATATATAAATAACCTATTTACCTAGCAGTTAAAATTAACTAAGGGTGAGATTACAGAACATCTGCAACTTTGCAGATCTGCAAATATGGCGGCAACTTTGCAGATCTGCAAATATGCCGCACTTACAACACTAAACCCAAATCCATTACTATGTTTAAAAACTCGATAATCTGACACCACGAACTGTATTCAATCAAAAGGAACTGAAGACTTCATGGTTATTAAAAAAAAAGTAAAAATTGACAATCTGCAAGTTTGTACGATGTTCTAACCTCATTAAGGGTGGATTTGAGTTTAGTGTTGTTGGGGGTAATAAACCACAATAAATTGAGAATTTGCAGATATGTTTTGGAATACGAAAACATGATACTTGCATCTGTAAGTCCGCCATATTTGAAGATCTGCAAAGTTGCCGCCATATTAGCAGATCTACAAAGTTGCAGACGTTCTGTAATCTCACCCTAACACGTTACAGAATAGGCCCCATAGCCGGTTAATTTCGTAGAACTGTATGTATGTTTGGTGGCCTATCCTTCAGGTGTACTCTCCAAATGCAAACAATTTTACGTAACCAATCAAAAAGTAAATTATTATAAAATATACTGTGAATAAGGATAATAAGGATATGAAGTGCTGTGATAACGATAGAAAATAAAATTTATGACCTAATAAACCAAGGAAATTTTTATTTATATGAAATTAAATAAATTATATTTCTTCGGTCAAGTAACTTAGGTTAATTGCCGAGAAATCTTTTTCACTCACTAAAAATTGAAACTTTTAATATTTACATCAACGTAGGTAAACAAATAGCTATTACTTACCCCATAAAATAACCAAATGTTTAATAAAACTTGCAAAAAATTGTAAAAAATTATTAACTTTCGGAACTCAAAAGGTTCTCTATTTTTCATGTAATCCGGTAATAATACCTAAAAATTTTTTTTTTATATAAGAGACTAATTCATTTTTGAGAAGATACAAAAAATATTACGGCACAGGTAGATATTGAACAATTACTTATTTTGACAAACAGTTTCTGGGTTATTTTCGATGAATTTGGGGTAGATGCGCCTGTGGTACTTGCGCCTTTTACGAAGGAAAAACCCTTTCGGAGCATACCTGCTTCTCAAAAATGCTCATGTAAGTGTTATTTTTCAGATGTTTGTACTCGTATAATAGTAGGATAGGCAATAGAGTAAGATCAAGTTGGTTGATAAAATTACAGTAATAAATAAAATGCATTGCAAATGTATTCAGGGTGAGCTAACTAAAACTTTGAAAGTGGAACTTTTTTATTAATTGAGATAATAAAATATATTTTTTCTACGATCACTATTCAAAGTAGGGTTAGGACCAGGGGCTCCAATTAACGAGATGGCGCTCGTAGCGAAATGTCATCTGTAAAACTTCCAACTTCAAGAACTTAAAATGGCGGTTGCAGTTTAAGGCTCATAAGATTTTGATATAGTTTTCAATACCTTTAAAATTTATGCATTTTTTTAAATGATAGGAAGATGGGTTTCAGCATTATTCAGCAACAAACAATATTGCACTTACAGATATCGGTGTTGATGCAATTTATACATCATATTCAATATGAGGTCGTCATTTTAAGAATAACCAAAAAATTAGGAACAAGCATTTAAGAAAAATGCAGATCTTGCACTGTTTTGCACCGATGGTTAGTAATATTTACAAACTTGTTTTTTATTCAGTATTAAAATAATTGATTTATTTTAATTTCTTTTCGTTTTCAATTTTGTGAATTTTGTGAATGATCATTGTTATTTTAAAGAAAATGTTGGCCCTCCAAAATACCATGGACATCGAAGAAATCTGTGAGCCTCAGCCATAAACATCAAATATGTATTTAATGCTATTAACATCAAAGAATAAAAATTACCCCAAAATCTTCAAGGTTCCAAACGTTAAGCTTAATTTATGCTCTAAAGCTAGATTCATTTATGGTAATGCTCAGAAAATAAGAATTTAAAAAACTACAAGTGATAAACAAATAGATCAATAAAAAAATTATTTTCTAAAGAACTAGTAGACTAAATAAGCAAATAGAAAATTTTATCCACCAAAAGGACGACGCTTCAACTTCAGTAGTTTCAAACCAATTTTCCGCTACAAGTCGCAAAACTCTGATAAAGTCTTGAGTACTATACATTCTGATTTTGTTACAGAAAATTTTATTAAAGGGTGTGTTCTATAAATATTAATTTAGTGAAATGGTATAAATGCATATTTTTCTGAGCATTTCCATATTTTAATAAAAAAATTACATGATGCGGCAATAGTACGCTTAAATGCAAATAATTTAGATAGAGGTCGCCCAAGTATCATGAGCGCATCTACAATATATTTGTTACAATAATAACAAGATTTTAAATCCTAGGTAGAAACAAAAATTACCAAAAATAAAATATTACATTTACATATTTTATAGTTGATGATCAAAAAAATTTTTTGAAGCATATAATGGTTGTTCTTTACTTACGATAACAGCATAAAGGTACAAGCCGCTAGTAACAAGTACTGGTACAGGACTTGTCATTAAAAACCATTTTCCAGATAAAACATCTGAAAAAAAAAACACGACATTCAGTACAAATACGATTACTACTGTATTATTATATCTGTATTTTCTTTAATTTTCACGAAGGTACTACGGATTACAGTTAAAAATACGTTGTTACTTTAATGTTTTAGCTAGTCAAGTAGCAGTAGAAGCTTTTATATCAAACCAAGTAAAGTTCAAACTGAAATGCAATTTTCCATGAATCCGATATTTCTTTGTTTTACCTAAGTTGGTGGCTGCACACAATAAAGTACCGGTAGTAGGAACCTACCGATAAAGCTTATAAACTTTTTAAACAGGACTTAATCAAAATAATAAGTTCTTCCTCAAGTAGAGTTTTATCAGGCTATCAAAACATATACAATGCCTATCCAATTCATATAGCTATCCTAAAATTCTTACAATCTAAATCTAATTTTCTTCAAACTGCATACCTTCCTTTGCTTACTATATACCGGGTGTTCCAAATGAAAGCGTTACAGCTATATACCGCTTTTTATAAAAAAAAACGTTTCAGAAGAAAGTTTTATAGTTTTGTAGGGAAAAACTTTTGGCTAAAATCGTTTTTTATAGCTAATCATAATATGGCCAACTTTTTTTTCGCGCAGCAACATTTTCAAGTAGCTGTTACTCAAAAAGTAAAAGTCCAATAAAAAAAATATTACCCTCAAAAGTTTCTTATTTTTTTATGTACTTTAAGAATATGTAAGAAAAAAAATGGGATTCCCATTTAAAAAAACAAAGTTCACCTCGATATGGCCATATTATGGTCAGCTATAAAAAAATGAATTTAGTCAAAATGTTTCACCCAAAAAACTATTAAACTTTTGTCTAAAACTTTTTTTTTAAATTCATATTTTCGGCGGTATTTAACTGTAACACTTTAATTTGAACACCCGGTATATTATCTTTAACCACTGCACTCCCCACCAGTAGAACGCTACACGATCCTTCTGAACTAATGGCACAGCTCTGTGATATTTAGCGACACTACAACTCATGCCACATACTTTAATTTTCTTTTACTATACGGAGAATGGTCGCACTGCGAAGCTTTCTGAGTGCCTTTTAAAAGGAGATAGAAAACTCCGCCATTTTGAACCCTTAATACGTGTTGCCTACATCTTGGCGCAATATTTTTAATAGGTGCGTTTTATTAATCCGCTTCTGCTTCGGAATTGTCGGTTTTCTTGTTTTAATCTGACAGGTTAGAACGACTGAACCGACAATTCCGGAAGCAGAAGCGGATGATTAACACGCACCTGATATTTTGCTTGTTGCTGTCAGTGTCAGTGAATATTATTTTTGGAGTCACAGTTTATTGCTAAAGAATCAGCTCACTTGGACCAGTTTAAAGTTTCAAAATAACATCCACTCCAGGGATACAAATTCAGGATATGCAGAAGACTGCTGTTTTATTATAGGCGGTTGTCATATATTGTATTATCTTAGTTGCGCAGTGTATAAACTGGAACATTAAGATAAAAAGTGCCGACGCAGAGTGAGCGATCTGATTCTTTAGCTATAAACTGTGTCATAGGGTTCAAAATGGCCGCGCCCTATGTTGGGCGTGTCGGACCTCTCTCTTGCCCGTATAGTTATCAAAGTATGTGACTCATGCGCATTACGAAGGTTTTAGAAAAAATACAACAAAAATTACACATATGCATTATTGGTTGCCTAAATCAATTATCAGGATTAAATAAAATCTTTCAGAACGCAAGCAATTGGGATCTGAAGATTAGCGATACGCCCTCTACTGTGAACTAAAAGTTATGCCATTTGACACTTGACCGTCTGTGTTCTGTCAAGTTTTGTTTATTGTTTATCAGGTCATTTCAATATTTTAAAATTTAACAAGTATTTTGTTTGAAATATCTTATTTAATAATAAGCTAATGCTTTAAATTTATATCATATATATTAAAATATTATTTTATTTGAACTATAAGTGGAATATCAGTGAAAAACACACTTGTTGGGTGCCTGGATGCAGCCCTAAAAAAAATGGATTTTCTTTTACATTTCATTTGCTTCCTAAAGTTGGTAAATGTAGGGTAATTTTTATAAATTGCAAGAAATGCATGGTTACAAAAATTAAAAATTGAGAAGCATTTTAAAGAAGATGATTTGCCTAGAGGTGATATAGATTTATTTTTCGATTGAATGTTTTTATTTTACCTTTTTTTGTGTTGTAGATGCCTCATCCAAAGTGAAAATAAATATAAAAAAAAATCGCTGTCTTCCTGCCAGTTTTTAAGTAAATGTTTGACGATTCTGTTCAATAAACTTCAAAATCAAATATTGAGAGAACAAAAAGAAGATTCAAACCACAGAATAAAGATTTTGTGTCCAAACTAAAAAAAGTTCAATGAGTGCTAAATGTGATAGTGAGATTAAACAAAGTCATAGTTGAGAGTGATTTGTTTCAAGATAACCTAGCTACTCACGCCAAACAAGACAGAGGTTGCAAATACTCTTTTTCAAGTATATTGCCATTAGTGTACAAGTGCGCATACCCCAAAAATTAAAACAATTTCAGATCTTTTAAAATCTGACAAAGAGTTGTGTTCATTCACTGGTATTAACAACTTTAACATACTGTACTAGAAAATACAGTCAAATCAGCTGAAGTACTTCGGAAGATGGCCTATTGGGTATTCTAACTCAATAAAGAACCTTTATTATTATGTAAACATTGGCATATTTTGTTAACAGGAAAAATAAAAAAAATATTTGATTTTTATATTTATTGCTTATAATAATAGCCTTTTTACCAACAGAATCAACTCGACCCATGCAACGAAGACTCATTTTTGAGAGTTTTTAGTTACCTTTATCCAGCACATATATTTGCCAAAAGCTTTTATCTAAATAAGTATCGTATATCTAAACGAAGAGGTTAAGCAACCAGAAATTCTACCATCAAATAAAGTAAATCATTTTAGGCCATAAAATACTTTAAATACTATATTATCTTACATTTCTTAAAACTGGAAATAATGAGTTACTATAGTCTTCGTTGCATGTGTCGAACTATTCCATTACAGAATAATATAAAATGTACAATCACTCATTAGAAAATGTAACTGTACACGATGACTAGTAAACTTAAGAATAAAAATAATTATTAAAAAGAGTATTCTCTCAAGAACAAAATCAATCATAAATTTCAAGCTGTACATTTTCATTTATTGTATTAAAGAAGATATCACATGAATTACTTATGTTATTAACACAATATCCAAACATTACAAACATCAGTGTGTTAAAAAGGTAAGAATAAGAACACTTGCGAAGTGTCATACAATTGTTTGTAAGATAATAAGTAACATGGATTAAATAATATATTATAAAAGTATTAAGACTAAAAACTAATACAAACTACAAATTAAAATTATGACTAAGTAAATTTTACATCAAAACTAACAAACAAAATAGTACCTACTTGTGTTAATAGATGATTTTAAAAGAATAATTCTTCTATATGTTTTTAAACATCTTGTTAAATAAAATTATCGAACATTGAAATAATAATTTGATTATCAAATAGTTTATGCAAACATAAAAGTGAACCCATAAATATTCTGCTTCCGTACCAAGGACACATAGTTTTTGTAATAATCATAAACTGATTTTAGATTTATTTGAAAATATAAAAGAATATCTTGTGTTGTGCCATTATTTATCGATTCTTCACAATAATCATTTGTAATTTATATTTAATCTCAATAACTAAAAACTATGCTGAAAATTAGTTTGACAGAATTGTTACTCATTTAAAATAAAAAAAAAATAATGGTATCCTGGTGACCAAATATTGGTGGATTTCATATCTGTACAGTGTTCATAGAATGGATAAATATATTCGTTCAATGGCCTACTTTTTCGTTCTTTAATCAGTGCGTAAAATAAATAATATACATGTGGCTGTAGAACAAAATCAAAAGGTATTCGATCGAATTAGCTTGATAGTTCTTTTATTATTTGAAACAGTATACACCTAGATCACTTTATTAAGACTCCTGAAATATGTTTGCACTGTCCACTGTTCCCAGCTTAAAACAAACACTGCCATTCCCTAATTTCAAACATCTTGCACTGGCCTACAACAATATGGGGACCTGAATTAAATGCACTAGTTTGGAGAACAACTGCAAAAACGTGTGTATCACTAAATTCATTCTTTCCACATAAAAACTATGTGGCCCGCATTTAAAATAGCATCTTCTTTAATAACAGTCCTGGAATTTTCACCTGCATCAATATACTTCATAAGTTCTATTAAACTTAGCCTTATTTCAGACATCTCACTAAAAATAAAATAAATATATTAATATTTTATTAAAAGATAACACAAATATATCTTAAATTAACATAAATGAATGAATGTAATTTAAAAACAAAATTAATAGGGGGTTACTTACCAAATAAAAATATATATTCTACTTTAACCTAAAAACTATTGAAATAAAAGTATCTAATCACTAAAAATTAACAACAACAATATGTTTTCCCTCGTGTTTTCCTTAAAATAGCACAATATAAACTAAATACTTTTTATGGGTTGTTTGTTTACAAACTCAAAAATGTAAACAATAACAAGCCATAACAATTAGTTTAAATGTTAAGTACAGACGGCGCTGCGATCTTAATTTTAGATCCCAATTGTAAGAGTTATTATGTTTCTTTTAAGTTTTAGATATAAGTTGGGAAGTCCCTCAGGGTTCTCTGTTGAGTTTTATTTTATTCCCCTATATAAATGACTTAACTACACCTAACATTGAAAGTACAGTCACTCTAATTGCTGATGACACTACGATTTTATGGCACATAAATTACACTTATAGTAAGTTAACGTTGAATGGACGAACAGAATAAAATTTCTGGGCATTAATTCAGACAATAATTATTAGAAATATAAGAACCATATAAAATTTCTAAACAAAAAACTTTCTTATGGATGTTTTGCAGTCGGAACTGTTTCTAAATAAATGGTTTTAACCCAGCTAAAAGTGTATATTACGCTCTAGTTGTCCAATGACGTCGCATCGTCTAAATACGACTCAATGCGCATACTCAGTAGTGTCGCATCAAGGATCATGTCTTAGATAATATAATAGGATCATGTTTGTGCCAAAATTCAATTACGATATTGGCGATATACTGATTATATGTATCCACGGTAATACTACGTATCTACAAAAAAATTAAATTTTACTTTTTCGCGCCATTTGGTTGTATATTTACTCTGTCATTAGTTAAAATACATTGTATTGGCTACAGACAATATTCACATGGGACTATAAAACTGAAAAAAGCTTCTCCTATAAAATTCATACAGTTACAATATATTAGAATAATTAGACGCAAACTGAATAAGAGTCATGATAAATAAATACGTTATCACAACACAGATGTTGGAGAAAATGACGACTGGATTATTTATTAGTAATGATGAAGAAAAAATGATATTAATATTATTTTGTTGTACAGAAGAATTTTTACCTTCCCGTATTTTGATAAACATATGAAAAAATGCATTGGAAACTTCATACAATACCTTCATATGTATTAATGTAATTATGTGCACGAATCCATAAATCCATTTTACAAAAAGCCGTACTTCTGAGATTCTAATTTACTAAAACATACATCGTTAGATATCTTCAAATTTAAAATGTCAATGTCAGATGTAGAAAATAGTTAACCATGTCAGTATTGCGCAACTGTCAACTATATGGTATGTTCAGGGTATGTTCACATACTTTGATTACTATACAGTGCAAGAGAGACATATACTTTGATTTTCTTCTACTACACGGAGAATGGTCGCACTGCGCAGCTTTCTGAGTACCTTTTAAAAGGAGATAGAAAAATCTGCCATTTTGATCCCTTATTACGTGTTGCCTACATCTTGGCGCAATATTTTTAATAGTTGCGTTTTAATCATCCACTTCTGCTTCGGAATTGTCAGTTTTCTTGATTTAATCTGACAGGTTAAAACGACTAAACCGACAATTCCGGAAGCAGAAGCGGATGATTAAAACGTACCTGATATTTTGCTTGCTGTGAATAATTTTTGGAGTCACAGTTTATTGCTAAAGAATCAGTTAGCTCACTTGGACCAGTTGAAAGTTCCAAAATAACATCCACTCCAGGGATACAAATTCAGGATACGCAGAAGACTGCTGTTTTATTATAGACGGTTGTCATATATTGTATTATCCGAGTTGCGCGGTGTATAAACTGGAACATTGAGATCAAAAGTGCCGACGCAGAGTGAGGGATCTGATTCTTTAGCTATAAACTGTGGCATAGGAATCAAAATGGCCGCGCCTTATGTTGGGAGTGTCGGACCTCTCTCTTACACCGTATAGTAATCAAAGTATGTGAAGAGAGACGTCCGATACGCCCAACATACACCGCGGCCATTTTGATGCAATTACTACAAGGTTAGGCTACACATTTTTCCAAAATGTTAAACTGGTAGCCTAACATTTTAGTATTTTGAGATTTTAAATAAAGGCAACAAATGTAGAAGAAACGTTTATTTATTTTAAATAATACACAAGAAACTTCTTTGAAGTAAAGTTATAATTGCGAGTGCATCTTGAAATAGAGGTGAGTGGTTTTAAATTATTTCTAAAGCTGTGCATATGATTATTATAATAATATTATGATATTTTTCGCCAGTTCCATGCCCATGAACAAACATTTTATTTTTCTAATGTAATAAAAATCTTTGAGGCTAAACAATCTAATATTATATTTTAAATTTTTTAGCTGTAAATATGGTACCAAACTATAAAATAAAAACAAAGAAATGTGAGATCAAAGAAGCTCTAAATAGAAGATATTACAAGAGGAATATACTCTAGCAGGTAAGCTGCAAAATATAGTTGGTTTTTATCTTAAAACTTATTTGAGACAGACACGTTGAAATTGTATAACAGTTATTTTTTTTTTTCAAATTAGTTATATGTAGTTATTAAATTTTTAACTAAAACAGATGTATTGTATATCTACAAATGAGTCATCTTTCAGTTGTTACACAGTCAAAAATTGCTGAATATTTTCTATTTAAGAAAATACCCCTATGGGTATTACTGCCACCACCTCCACCAATATTCTCGTTTTTAAAGATTACACAAGTTGGTTAATTAATATAAGAGGGCGAATCGGCAATGATTTATGTCCTTCTTTTTATAAAGTTCGCTAAATTGACTGTAATTGCCATTTCGAAAGTCACTGACGTTCATTTTCTATATAAGTCAATGTAAAATAAAGGAATTTTTTAAAAAAATGGTGAAAAGAATCAACATAATGTAAAAAAAGTGCCTGAGTACAAGTAACATGAGTAACAAAAAACATTAAAGTAAGATTTACTTCGTTCCATATTGTAAAACAGGATACAAATCGCATGTAAAACTAAAGAAAACACAAGGATAAATCAATTTAATGTCTTCTTAAAACTTCTAATGTAAGTAAAATAATGTATTTTTCTCTAAATATAATATTGTAAATTAGTCACACCTATCACTTACTAGAAAAGAAAATTCGTTTTTTATAGAGTTTTATGTTAGATAAAGAGTTGCTACTGTTATTTTTTGTTGAGCCCCAATTTTATCATTGTAAATGTTTTTAATAGGATCATATCCGCTTAGAACAGTGGCAGCAATATATATCGTTCTAGGGCCGATAAAGTACTTTCTAGAGATGATGCTGTTCTACACTTTTTAGAAGATATTTCCAAACATTACGACTCTTTTTACTAATGGTACTGTTAGCATAATAAAACGGGAAAAGCCAAAAATAAAGGATGTGGCAATATCATATACATTCCCAAATCTGCCTTCATCCTTTGTATTATAACAATAAAAATCTGATAACTGTGTTTTATTTTGCTCCTATTATATTTAGGTATAGTTCAAAAAAATTTATACACAAAATTGTACTTACCAAATTTTATTATTTAACAGATCTTTGCAAATTGGGTCATATCTACCTAAATTAATATAGATAAAATTAAATAATTTATCAGTTAAAACATGCGAGACTTATTTAAAACAGTATTTTCTGTGCTTTATTTGGCAATAAACAAATTTATTTTTATTATTGTGATAAAATTATGTAAAAGAAGCCATGTATTTTAAACAGCGGTACTAGCACCAGCGCCCTTGCGGTAAATTAGAAAAGCTCAATTAGCGTTCGTTTTTTGGGACCGTATTTAGACTATGTCGATTCGCCTCATCTCTAGTCTTCATAGTTATAATCCGTTTCATTAAATAAAAGTACGGATGCGTCATAGGTGACGACATATTATTGAAAAATAAGAAAAAATCGGAGCCACGTGCCACAAATAAAACGAGCAACTGTTTCTCTCTGGAAACAACTACTCTATTGGCTAATACCACGACGGGCATTTAATTATATCTAAAAGCAATAGCAGAGGTAGAAAATTATTTTCAATACTGTATTGACTGTTAATTGAAAAAAAAAAGAAAAATTATTTATGGTCACTACACTATTACAGTCAAAAACAGTTCAGATTTCTGGGCATGATTTTCTTAAATCTTCGGTAGAATTTGCTCTTCTATTCAACCTAGGAAAATATAATAAAATTTAATAATCAATAAAAAGAAAGAATGTATACAAAATCATCTTGGAGAATAAAAGCTTGTTATTCAGTATAGAGAGTGGGCCACACATTTTTAAAAAGGTAATTGGATGCAGAATACGGCCAATCTAGGAAAAATAAATTCTAGAAGGATGTACAATGGACCAAGTATCCTAGTCCATATCATCAAATACAAATAGACTACAAACATCTTGTTAAAAATATTTTTAAATTTCTAGAAAAAAAAAGTTAATCAAACCTGTACTTTCTTAATATTTATGGCTTTCTACATCACAATTCGGTTGACGCCGTTCCTGACCACAACAACTAAAATCAAATCGAATTTAATTATGGAACATTAGGATAGCCATTCGTTTCCTATAGAATAGTTCAGATATTGGCGGTGCATTTGAGAGGCTGAAACACAGAGCCGAGAATAGCACCTAATACATCAAGATGCGTACAAAATAAGTAGTCAGTTTGCTTCGAACGATTCGCCAGTGTTTCACTGCCAGTTTGCTTGATTTTATTTATAGTTGTCAACATGAGATGTTAGATGAAGTTACCTTGGTGCGTAAGTCGTTGATAATTTGTTATAAATCAAAATTGTGTCTGTGATTAATGAGTGAATATTTAAAAGTTAAGTTGCACCTGAAACTGCATCTTTTATTATACTATACAGGGTAATACTAGCACTATAAACTGAGTAATACTAAATTATATGTTAGAAAATACGAACATCATTACAACCCTAAATAAGGACTATTCAGGAGATCTTTGATTTGTTATTTAAGCAGGTAGTCATTTTATAACAAGGTTTAGGACTTGTCGAAAACTTTGATTTCTAACACAAATGTAATAGAACTCTTTTAGAGATCTTTCCAGAAATAATGTATCAGGGAGGTAACCCCCTTTTTTCCATAATGCACTTGTCAATCTTCAACTCCACTACAAGCAATAATTATAGGCGAAGGTATGACATTACTTAATAATGACAGATCTCGAATGTATTACTTGTAATTGTTTAGAATTCAGAATTATTTAGAGTTTAGGGTTGTTTAGGGTTTTTGGTTATTTGACAGGATTCTTAAGAGTTATATTTCTGAGATTTATATTTAGCTATTATGCAACTTATAGTGATATTATCACCTTGTATCATATAATAATCAGTTTGCATTAACGGATTGCTTGGAAACCGTATGTACCCCAACTTTTTATTACTATTTTATTCTATTTTATCAGAACTGTTTATACATTTTTCAAATCTTGTGTATCTCATTTTGAAATTTGATTATAGTAGGTATTTCACTTTCAAATTTCTTTTTTAATATTATCATTTGTTTCTTCAATTCAGGTCATTAGCTTTGCGTACTGTGTAAACTTTGTTACTTTTTCCTTGCATAACTTTAGGAACAATGCTATTATAGAGACCAAAACACAGTAAATGGCCGAGTGATGAAACTTACCTTGACATTAGAATTAATGTATAATTAATAATTATACGAAGTAGCAGGGAATCAGCAGCAACCTATGGATCCAAAGGTCCAGACGCTAACCACAGAGCCACACTCCCCTCCATTTTCTTGTTTTGTTCGGCTTATAATAGACAAAAATTTTGTTTCTTTCTGTACATCAGGAGATCAAATTTAACAATCTTGAATGTTGTTCTTTTATATCAAAATAGATGCATTTAAATTTATAAATATTTTTTTAAACAACTCTTTTAAGTTCAAGTTTATTTACTTACTTTTGTTAGAAAATCTTTGAAGATATGCATTAGGTTGCACAATAATTGATGAAATAATGATAAACGAGTTCTTGAAACATATAAAGAAAAAACATTAAATCCGTCCGGGTACACCACATTTTGTTTTAATGAAGCATGTAGTCTGGCTTGCTGCCCAATTCTAATCAGACATTCCACAGGATTTTATTATTAAATAAACGTCATTAAATGTGAGACAGCCAATACTTTTATATAGAGATTTAATTCCAATACATATTATAATGCAATCAATTAAGCAATCGTTAGGAAGAAAAGAGACAAATGAGGTGACAACATCAAGGGATATAAACACAATCTTCAATGATATTGACATTTGTATCAGTAGAAACACGACAGA